GCAGGTCATGGGGATTACTTGACCATACTTCACCATGCTGCTCAGGGTAGGTTGGTTCTATACTAACCCTTGCATATGTAAAATGTGTTCAGGAGCTCAACGCCAATGTTGAGGTCTGCTAGCCATGAGAGGCCATCCATGCGAGAGTTCGTGTTTTACTATTCCTGGTTGGTGAATGCACTGAGCACAAATTTAGGAGCATGGTATACAACCATACAGATTCTGCTTGCCCTCTGCTGCCCACAAAGTAGCCCCAGGGTGCTGTGGCTGATCTGTATATCCAGTGTTGTCTGACGTACGGACAGCGGTGGACCTCACACTGCACTCCTGAATGAACCCAGACCGCGACTGCGGGGTACAAGTCTGGCCCGGCCGCCCGCCCGTGCCGACGAGAGAGAGCATCGCTCACCAGGAGGCCGTGGATGCGAGTGAGATATCGCTCGACGCGCGCGAACACGTCCTGCCAATCTCGCCGCAGCTGCTCCAGCTCCTCCTCGATGACGGCGGCATCCAGCGGCTCGCTCTTCTGGATCAGCTCCTCGGCGTGAGTGATGAGCTCCTCAATGCGTGCCGTGTTCAGCTCGATTTCCTGCTGGTAGGCCTGCGGGCCGTGACAATCGCAAACGAGGATGGAACATCGTGCACGCGCACGGACCGTGTAACGCTTTTGAAGCCGCACAACGAGATGTTGTCACACGGCGCGTGGTACGTGACGTCGCGAAGATGACGTCACACCCAATGAAGTCATGGAGAAATGAGGCAGGAGCATTAAGCGCGATGCCATCGCCTTGGCAGAAAAGGCTAATCTATTTGTAATGGATTTTTGTACTGTGATGGGCAACCCTTTGATACATTTTATATCAGTTAAGTTTTATATCAGCTAAGTCCCGAACTGCAACAAAACTCACTCAAATGTAATATATAATGGATTATCTTTATGAGAGTTATCGCGAACCCTGCTGATGACAGGTAAATGGGCAGGGCTAGCACATAAGCACTTTCAACCTTCGCTGTAAAGCTTAAAAAAAAGACAGCTGCCAAAAAGCGGAAATCAAGACGATCCTACCGCACGGCTGATTCAAGGAAACGTGATCAGATGATGGACGGTTCAGGCGTCTCACCCGCAGCTGGCGCAGCTTGACCTCGCGGTCGAACTCGGAGAAGTGCTCGAGGTTGGTGAGCTGCAGGTCCATCTGGGTGAGCCACACCACCAGGCTCTCGCGCGTCGTCTCAAACTCATCGCGCTGGCTCACAAAGTGCTGACCGGGCGTGGTGTCGGGGCAGGGAGACAGGAAGAAGGTATTGGGAGAGCACATCTCAGAGAACTCGAGGGAAAAAGAAGCACATGCAGCAGACCACAAGGCCCCGTGAGTGTTATTCTGAGTGAAACGCCTTCATCGCTCCCCTCTTCTCTCACACTTTTTACAAAAATAAAGTGCGTACCGATTCCAACAAGATGCAAAAACAACAACCCATGAGCAGCCGCTGATGTTCTGTGCTCGGCTTTGGCCTTGCCCATAGGGCCGCGACCGTGCGGTCCGCATCTTGGTGTGCCCTCACTTTGAGGCGGCGCAGGATGGCGGCGACGCGGCGCTGGAGATCGTCCCAGCGCTGGTTGCAACTGAGCACCATGCGACGCAGGCAGCACGTCGCGTCCGTGCGGTTCTCGCGCGCCAGCCGTCGGTACTGCTTGTTGACGAGCTCCAGCTGCGTCAGGCTCTCGTGCACCTGCCGCTGGATGCCCTGGATGGGGTGGGGTGTGGTAGCGGGGGTGGTGGTGATCGCAGGCAGGGGACATCGGGCATCAGCACCGGCTCTATCGTGATCGCCGGCAATGCTGACGCTGGCGGCGTCGCTGATAAACTCATCAGCGGGGCCATCGCGACTGCTGCCCTCTTTACCAAGAGCAATAAACGCCGCCCAATGCACTCAGGAAACAATTGACTTTGACTGTACTTATAATGCCCCACCTTCCTATGACCACCACTGTTGATACGTTGAAATACAACCAGTTGAATGTCTGCGGCTGTCGTGCGTCGAGTATTGATGACCGTGTGCGGTTTAAAATCCGTGCTTGTAGAGTGATGAGGGCTCACGAGCGCCCACGGTTGAAGAGGGGGGGGGGGGGGCGGCACCTCAAAGCGTTTGAGCTCCTCCTTGGCCTGCGTGTACAGCACCAAGGAGGAGCTCGGCGACGCGGCCGTGCGCTCCAGCTCCACCAGCCATTCCTCCAACCGCGTGTGGTCCTCCCGGAACTTCTGCCATAGCCGCCACGTGTCCTCGATCCTGCCAGCGGGCACAGATAACGGGGCACGCACCCGATATGGCACACGGGTGAGCACCAGGGGGCAGCACGTACCATATACCCACAGCACCTCCGTCCAAGGGGGTGATCAAAGACTACAAAAACTAAATAAAAGGTGACTTGGCAACAGTTACCAAAAATTAACAGAAATGACCATGTATAGCAGCTAGAGTTACTGACTGTCTATTCTCTAGAATATATATGTATAACACTGTTTTGTACACCATCTTGAAATGCAGCTGTATTTAGACGCTATATTCATCCAAATTGTATTGTAAAAGCATTGTAATTAAAATCACCTCGATTTTCGGCATATCATTTCAATTTTTGGCCCCGGCATGGGTCCGCGCGCTTCACGATCGGCGCCGCCGCCGCCTCCTCGCTACAGTTGTAGCGAGTGAACGAGGGAGTGAGCGAGCCGGTAGGCGAGAGCCCTCGAGGATGTAGCGAGTGAACGAGGGAGTGAGCGAGCCGGTAGGCGAGAGCCCTCGAGGAGAGGGCACTCGACGAAGAGAGGCGCGCTCCGCATTGCGCAGGCGCAAGTGGCTGCGCTAGAGTACGACTCGCTGGACCCTGCCCCCCACGGCCCCCTATCATGTGCTGTGGCAGCTGGCAGAGGCCACCTCTTTGACCAGTAAAGTACTCTGCTATCTCACCACCAGGACCATTTGCATTCGAGTTGACGGTTCAATTACTCCTGCTGTGCAAAGATGGCATTTCCACTAAAAAGGCACGGACTGCAGTAAAACGCATGTTAAAGAAACTCTGACCTTCCTTCGCAGGAGTGGGTCATGATATGCTGGCGTCAATTCAAATGCACAATTTAAACAGCTATGTATACTTAACAGCCCATTTGTCAATGCAATGCTGAATGAGGGCCTCCCCATGCCGTGTGGTCGTGCTATTTGACCATAGATCACCCTGCTGGTCGATATGGTTGGGGAATATGAACAGCACTGGTGACATATGCAGCGCAAAAGTATCTTTTGTTGCACTGCCCTCTACTGCCCATCACAATAAACTATATTACGAAATTTATTCTCGAATTTTTGCAAATACGGAAATAATATATTTTATTTACAATGTCTTTTCAACCACAATCGGTTCTCAATGTTTTTGTTAAACGCGATAGATAGCGTACGCTCCAGCCATTAAAATACCACAAGCAATACAACATTAAGAGTGGAGTGGTGATATATTGGTTAATGCGCTGCGCTAAGAACCTGGTGAACAGAGTTCAATTCGTGGTCTCGGCCAACATCAGTGGCGGGCAATATCTGAACCGTCCTGGACACCCACCACCCCCACGACACCTTCCTCTCACAACTCACAGCGACCAGCCTTTGGGTCGTCTGGTCAAACAACCCCCACCACCGACACGCCATGTGGAAGGGGGCTTCATACAACAGTGGACTGACAAAGAGCTGTACATTATCATAAGAAAACACTACAGGCGTTGAGTCCATCTTAAGAAACACAAAACGGTGGCATCGTCGAAAAAACCTTAAGTGGCATCGTATTGGCATGTGTGGCAACCGGTTGTGACACAACTGGATGTAACATAGCAGCAATGATCCCTTGAAGCATTGCTCGTGCCTCCAAGGTAAACCTGAATGGTGAGAGAGCTCAGCTTTCGTTCCTCTTTGTGATCTGTGACCACACTCCATCGCGGCCCCGATTAACAACACGGCCAGGTACACGCTGTGCCCAGCAGCTCCGTTACCCCTCTGTGGCCAAAACAGCAACGTGTGCAGCCGTGAACACGGCATTAATTAAAACGGTCCGGACACGGTTCGCACAGCACGATGCTGTTATAGCGAGGCTCAATGGCGGTGCCGTTGCCAACATTTCACTTTTATTTGCTTGTAAAAACTTTCCAAATTGTGCCCCACTTCACCAGAAAAAAGTGCCACAATGCAAAGTGCTCGGAATTAATGGGCTTTGAAATTTGGGAAGGTTCTCAAGAGAAGCAGCACTTTGCAGGCAAAGGTTAGTGGATCACAGATTTGTAAAAACTGAGTTGCCAAGATTGCAGTATAAGAAGTGGGTTTACAAGTCCGTCCACGTGGATCTTTTGAAACACGAAATCTTTACGCCTGCTGGTTTAATTATTATTAGATGATTCACAGTCGATGTGACTCAGAGCCTAAATGACTGCAAACACGTCGGCAAGTAAATAGATAACTTTAAAAATACAATAAATACAGATGACGTATTCTACGTCGTCACTCTTATTTCACATGGGCACGAAATAAAATATGTTAAGCATCGATTGATGTTGTGCAAATAAGATATTCCATCTCAACTGATTATCTAGGTGAAATGTCATGATAAAAAAAAAGTTTTGCTGGCGCATGGGCAGGCAAGTGCACGGTGCTGATGTTACCACCCACATCTGCACAATGATGTCACTGCATCCAACAGCGTCGAGCTGGGTTCCGGCATCACACTGACGTCACGCTCCCCCCTACCCCCACCCCAAATGTGTATCCCACGCAAATGCACGGGCAGTGCTAGTTTTGCAAGTACAACTCGATTTAAATAGATTTGGAATTATCTACATTTTTGTTTTATCTGTGCAGTCCCTCCGCCCTATTACCCCAAATAATCGCGAGTCGGCTGCACTTCATACTTTGTGACTGCTCTTGCCAAACTCAGGGGTTGGCGCAGGACGAACGGAAGCCCCACCTGAGCCGACGCTCCATGGCTGTGGCGCAGATGTTCCTCCAGCGCCGCTCGAGGCCGCGCGTCGCCTGCGACAGACCGTCGCTCTCCGCCTTGCCGGCGCACGCGTCGCAGTCCTGCAGCAGGGCCCCGCACGCGCCCAGAACCGACGACACGCTGGCGCTGTGCTCCTCAATGTCTTTCTGTAGCTCCTGCGGGAGACAGATGGAGAGAGATCGGACCAGCGAGACGAGCCGCACAGCTTCATCCCTCCTCCTGGGCACCAACTTCCAGTCAGCACCAGATGTTTACGACAACAAAATAATATTTAGTTAAGAGAAGCAGAGGTGGTCGGATGCCTCTGAAGTCTAACAGTGTAAAATCCCTGAGCCAGTACCGTTGAGATCCCAAATGTGAATCTGCTTTTTTCTATCAACATTCCAATCTCTATATCGGCATTGCATGACAAGATCAATTAATTAAGAGGAAATGGCAAAAAAACTAAGACTGGCATTCTGAACGATGGAAACTGTTCACCGTCATGTGGGAACACAGAGACGAGGGAAACCACTTGCGAAAAAAAACCTATAGTACCGCTAGACAAGGCTTAATAGCCTAACAGCAACATCTCAGTCCGTGTGGATTTTAGTTCGGGGAAGACAAAGTCCCTTGAGCAGGAACCTCGGCTGTATTTCACACATCACTTGCTGCCCGTTGTTTACGCTCTTGAATCCACTGGGGACAGTTCGAAACGGGGTACAGTTTGAAAGACTGCACAGATTTGCGATGCGACAGTGGCCCTTATGTAAGCGTGTGCAGGCCACAAGAGTAATAAGATCGCATTGCAGTGGGACCAAATCAAATACCACCTCACAAAAGAATCCCTGTGCGTGATTGCACAAACACGCTCTGGAGGCAATGGTGCACCTGTTTCAGCAGCTCAATAGAGAAAGGTCCCATTTTCCTTCTTGCCGGCTTAAAGAGCTTGGGTGTCTCATTGTGAGTAGGGGGTTGGGGGTCCCGCTATTACGTGGTCACTGACTAGCAAAGCGATTCGCCTTCATGCAATCCCATCCCTCGGCAAGACAAATAAATCTCGACGCGCTTCACAAGTCTTCCATTATTTAAAAGGTGCCGAATATAATTACGCACAAACACACCTTTGATCTATCGAGACTCGCCTTTCAAAAAACGACGCATGAATGATTTATAGATTTTAAATATGCATTTAAAAGACCCATGTTTATGCATCTCAGTTGACGGGAATTTGCGGGGTTTTGTGATGTTGCGTTTCATATGTTTTTCTAATGCATCCCTTGTAAATCGTGCCGGGACAGTACACTCCCTAACAAGACCGTGTGCACACCACAGGCGAAGTTCACTCGCGCCCCAATGCTAAAAGCTCACTCCTCGCTGACCGAACGAGTGTCAAGGCGCCAAGCCCACGCTTGCGTGACGGACGTGACCAGCGTCACGCACAGGCGGGGCGATTCGGGGAGAGGAAAAAAAACCCACTTCAAACTGTTTACTATCCAACGTGCAGCCGTCATAAGGGACTTTGAGAGACCGTAAATAAGCATTAACTTTGCTATATATGCAAACTTTACGCCAGTCAGAATTCGACACTTCATTTCCATCTGCACTGAGATTGCTGTTCTGTTTGTCAGTAAAAAAAGGTTAGAAGGGATTCCAAATGAGCATTGAGGCAGTGCTCATCTACGCTATGCAGCCCTAGGCCAGTGGTGGAAATTCCACATTATGATGGCAGGGGTGAACCTATCCATAGCACAACCACTTTTAACTTGCCCGCAAAGTGGTATTCATATTGGCCCCGAAGAGATGATGGACTTTAATTTTATTAAATTTTTTATTTTATTTCTACATACGTGACTTTACCGAAAAAAACAATGAGCATAATGTCTGCAGTCACGAAAGCTTAAATCCTAGATTATGATGGACTGAGTTGACCCCCATCCGGGCTTTTAACTGGAAACCTTCCAATTGTGAGCCACTCTGCTGCTTGATTTCTGATTGTACGTTTAAGTTATTATGTTTTTCAACACGTCTAATGACTTTCACAGAATACTGTTAATGTCTTGGAGATGTTAGCTATTACACAGAGCAAGCATCTCAGTGCCCCTTTTTCCATGACATCATAGTTATTATTATTACTACGACCAATTTACCATGTATTCAGTACAAAGGGGCATCCATTACCTGCCACCACACGCATACATACAGCCCGCATTAAAAACACACACACACAACAATTACCGTACAGCGTAAGCAAACAGAGGCAACATCTCACTACCGTACCTGCAGGCGAATCCCAACTTGCCCCGAAGCTACGATGCACTCAAGTCAAAGTACGCTCCAGGCACCATGTCGTCGCACGGCCGTATCCACAATTAATTTCATCCCAACGCAGAATCCCCAGTCTTGTCACATCCACACTCGGGAACGTCTGTGCGCCCCCCTCTCTTTCTCTCGCTCGATCTACCACTCTCCCTCCTCTGGGCGGTTGGAATAGCGAGCTAAGCCGGCTGCTAGGGATACTGTTCACGTGGATACAGGTGCAGGTTGGCTCCCACGCCCAACCCCCTCCACATCGCCACCCCCTTACTTCCTCCCTCCATCCGCGCCGTGGCATTCGACTATGTCTTGACTACGCCCCAGCGCAATCGAACGAGCCAACAGGTGAGCGAGCTTGTGCCACGCTGGGCTCGTTGTCTCTCACCCTGTCCCACCCTCTGTCAGCCCCACCCACTCCCCGACACAACCTGTTTGTTTTCCTTCCATCGGTTTACACCTTTCCTTTAAAAATACTGATCTACGCAATTCTCACAGCCTTTCGATGCTCTTAAAAATCTAATCTGTCCATTATAAAATACGCCACGCCGTGAAAGTTTATCAAATATATTAGCACGGCCACATCCAAGAGGCTGCAACGGTGGCTTTATTTCATGGTGGGGTGGTTTGGACTGGTGTTTTGGGTTTGCATTGGCAAGGCTGCCGCTTTGAGAGGCGGTCTGGATGCTGGTCAGAGTGATTTGGGAAACTTGGCCATGGTATGACTGAAGGCAAGGCGTCTTGCAGGAATGCAAGCATGTCGAATGGGTGTGTCTTCAATCCCTCTCAAGAAAGAATACAATGGACCATCTTAAAGGGTCCTGATTTGCTTGGCTTATTTTTGCAACAGAGCAGAGAAACAACACCTACTGTGTTTCTCAGCTTAACTGGGGTGGGTTTGCATTGCCAGTGAACGTTAGGTTCGAGACCTCAATTTAGTGATTGAGCTCTTAAAAACGCATCTGAAGTCTACCAGTGCTGAGTGGGATTTTTTTTGTCTTGGTGCGATTCGTAGATTTGTTGGTTAAGAGTTATTTTGAGTACTGAATAAAGTTAGCCCACCAGATGTTTGTTTATAGACATGTTTGCAACTACTGTGTCTGACTGTCATGAGCTGCACTCCAATAATAACAGTGGCAGCCTAGCAATGGAACGTGCCAGAGATGACGTCCATAGAGGAGATTGAGCGATTAAATCGGTTCATGTGGCGGCGTTAGGCGGATTGTTACATTGCAAGATTGTGAGAGTTGGTGGCAGCTTTTCATCTAGCAGTGGATTGACCATGGCTGAAGCTGATGATAATGATGATGGCGTAGACAATGTTCTATTGAATGATTCATTTACTTAATGATCCAGCAGAGCCACGCTGATTTGTAGGACTCATTTTCAGGAGGGATCCTGCTGCTGCATTGGGTTTTTACTTTAGATATTTTCAGACAATAAATTCGTGAGTGTTTACATGAGTGGGAAGAAACCGGAACAGCCAGAGGCAACCCACACGTGCAAGGGGGGAAACACTATCCCCGTACAGACGGAAATGGATGGCAACAAGGCCACACGCTGTGCTGCCTTCTCCTGGTGAGTCAGAGTACGGGCACCTCCTCGACGCCCTCGGGAAGGGAGCTTCACAACTTTGCGCAATCCACCAACCCTTGCCGCTTCCACATTGCTACGTGCATAGCCACCACCACCAGAATATTTTTTCCTCCCAAGAGGTAGCAAACGGGGACCATAAAATGGCAATCAGCAGTTGCACACCTGTGTGCCCTTTGGATACTTCATGTTTGCCTGGCCAGCATACGCAGGGCACGAAGTGCATATGGGTGTGCAGGTGCTGGTGGTGGTGGTGTTGTGTTTGGGAGATGATGTCACTTATTTACAGCCGGCTTCATTTTCCACTGTTAGTTCAGGGTGGTGCCCAGTGGACTAGCTCTATGCGAGTCAATTTTGTATGAAATCCGATCATATGGCACTGTGGGCAGGGTGCATTGTGTCTCACGATCAGCAGAAAAGCAAGTTCAACGCATGGTCAGGGGTCGAATCAGGCCACCACCATCGTCATTATAATGATCATCATCAGCACACCGTTCTTACCATGATCACCATTGCTGTAATGATCATCGCTGTCATGAGCATTAATCAACCTTAGTCATCATCATCCCCCTTACCACCATCATGATAATTATCATTGTCATTATCATCACCACCCTTATAATAAATGCAGTGACCACGATTATTATCGTAATCCCTGTGGGGGTCAATGATAATAATCGCCACTTTCTGGAAAGTCAACAACGGTCATCTGTACGGAGGCGTTGTCTGCCAAAATTCCACTACTGGCTCAGCACCAACCATTGATGGCTGCTGATTTACCCTGGAGTACACGAGTACGGAGTCATACTTTCCTATTTTCCACAGAACTCCAAGACCACGCCATCATTATGATTTAATGAGGAATGAAATGAAAGCTCATAATACAAGTCAATTTGTTTTATGACGTTGACCACTAACTTGATAAGTTGGCTTCACAATTCTAGGGCTGCCAATAGGCTCAACCATTTGACGTGAGCCCCGCAACCCCATTTCAAAATCACACAACGGAGAGTGGTGAAGGGACACATGGTTGATGACTTGTGTCAGGTGAGTTGATGAGGGGCAAGGGTCAGGTGAGTATTAGACAAGCTGAATTGTGAGTGTCAGGTGAGTTGCTAGTGAGTGGTGCTAGGCGAGTTAATGCCTGATGAGGGGGGTCAAGTGAGGGTCACGCGATCGTCGTGTCACCCCGTCCAGATTACGGGCTGTCAACTCGTATTTTCAATGATGAGAATCTGCGTGGCTGTACTGTGTTACACTGTGTGTAATAGCCGGCGCTCGCTGCGAATCGGCAAGAGCGAGCGATCTCCGAGCAGGAGAACGAACGTGCGGCGCCGAGAGGTCAGCCGTGCCATCGCCGCCGGCTCCCGTTGCCGAGCATGTACCTGCTGCTGCGCCAGCTTCAGCTGGATCTCGGTCGCCTCGAAGTCGTGGTAGACGATGGGCTGCGCCAGCGTGGCCTCCATGCAGGCGAGCCAGGAGCGCAGGCTGCCCATGGCACTGTCCAAATGCTGCTTGTTGCCGCTCACATCCTGGAGCCAGCGCACCCTGCACGCCGCGCACGGCACGCGTCGCTCAACACGCGGTCCGACGCTAGCGCGCCACGTTGTGACGCTAGCGCTCCCCGTTGTAGGTCACCGATGCTCGCTGCGCTGAACCGGCCGGTGTCAACCCCCAGCCGTTTTGTTTTTGTTTTCAACCAGCAGCATTTCACACGTTATCTTCTGGCACCATGCAATTGTGAATTTGTTACTTAATTCCAGAGTGCACCAACCACTGTGACAGCACCGCTCCCCCATCTAATATATTTATAGAATATATATCCTGTGCATTGTTGATGAAGGCTCTCCCATGCCGTGTGGGTTGTGGGTGTGTTATTAAGCAATGCCTAAGAGTACTGGACAGTGTGGGTTGGTAAATCCATAATTAAACGGTCTACACACGGATTCAATTATCCAGATTTCGTAAGCCGAGTTAGGATAAGCCTGGACAGTGTCTGGATGGTGGGCAGCAGAGGGCAGTGCACCATAATGCATTGTTGTACCGTACGTATATGCTCCCCGCTTTCAACAACGCACACTGACCAGTGCAGTGAAGCACGGTAAAATCCACCATGACCTGCGAGACCCTCTTCCAGCAGTGGGCTGGCAAAAGGGCGCTATTTAAATCCTATATGAATAGAATAGAAAAGGGCTGTGCATGTAAATTGTGAACATTAAACTTCACACACCCTTGCAATTACAAACACAGTAATTAACAAAAGTTTATTTAAGTTAAATTTTTTTCTTCTTCTTAACCCAGCAACCATTTCAGGCACAGAGCTTCACACATGCAACCCGTGCAGTGGTCTCACTAAATCAGAGGCCGCGACAACTGTGCTACATCGTAAAGACGCACAAACACAAGTCACGCTGAGCAGGCGATATTAAGTTACTGTCCACGCCACGGGTTTTGTCACCCACACAAAGGCTCCAGGGCATGTCACTGGACGACGTGCAACAATGCATAGCGCAGGGAAACGTATACATACGATACATACGATACATTCTCATGTCCACCCATAAAAATTTTACTCCAAAAGAATGCATGAACAAGAGGACAACTATAGTATCCAGCAGCTAAAATAGCTTGAACAGACCGACGATAAACCTGCCAACATTACAGCTAGCCAACTCAGCGGCTTAGCAGCGACTTTTTGGGTTTCCCGAGCAAAACATTATTTGGCAAATCTCGTTACTTCAGGGGCGAGGACATTACGTAGATTTAGGAGGCATCCCAGGCATGTTTTTAGGCTCCGGTATCAGCTAATGTTCTTCCAAGATGTCTGGTCAGTATGTAAGAGTAGACCAAAAATGCCCTCTCCAGAGGAGGTATTTTTCTAGCACTGTAGCCACGGCACTTCCACCAGCAGTGGAGTGGAGTGAGGAATTGCTGGGCTGTACCTCTTCCAATCAGTTTATGTTTAATACTAGTTCAATTGTGCAGTGATTTTTTTTTGACCGAGACAGTCCATCTCGTGAGAACGTGTGACTTTTTTAAAGCGCGTTTGACGATTTCCACTTTAAAGGCGTTGGCAGCACAACAACATTTACGCGTGTGGTCCGTTTAATAGCGCACAGCCATCACGAGGATTTACGGCCGGCACCTTGGTGGCGTCTTTAACGATTGCTCTACTGGGAATGCCTTCAGTGTCCACCGTCCCCCAGTCACGCCAGCTGTTGTTGAAGCCTACATCGCATAGATCCCCCACCCCGCTGGGCCAATCCGGAACTTAAGCAACTTGTGTGAAAATCTTTTAAATCACCCTAATAATACATGTGTAACTGTACAGCCCTTTTGTCAATCCACTGCTAGAGCGAGGGTCTTCCCATATGGTACGAGTTGTCAAGATTAGATTATCATACTTCACCACACTGGTTAGAATGGGTTTGGTTAAGGCGGAGAGCACAGTACAGTACAATAGATGTTGCTGTACCGACTCCTTTGCTGACGTAGCCCAATAATGTTACGTGCCACTTTGGAATACAATGTGGGGCTTATTTATGGAGCGTGTCAATTGCTTGACACGTGTACACAAAACCGAATACGCCCTCACATCCCAGTGTGCATGTCAAGGCAGTTCGTCACCAGATAGCATTTTGCAAGCATATCTCCCTTATCAAGAAATGCGCCACACACCCTGAATGGCGTATACTTTGCCCAATGTGTAATCCAATCAAAACTCATGAGAAACCCACATCTCGAAATTGTCTGCAATGTCCGTTCAGAGTCACGGAGTTGTGCAACTATTCAACATCCCACGGAAGAGGTACTCAGAATGGAGATCACAGAGAGCGTCATCTCATACACAGGAGGTGAGAAACCTCGGAGTTCAGTTTCACCAGTCATTATCCTTTGAGGCACATATATATTGAAGGTGGTTAAAATGTCATATTTCCACCGAAAAAATATTGCCATAATGCATCACTTCCTGTCACCTGCTGACTTGGAGAGACTGGTCCATGCTTTTGTGTTATCCCAACCCGACTATCACTGGTTGGGATACTGAGCAAAGTAATGGGCAGAATCCAGCTTGTTCAGAATGCAGCTTGCTAGAGTGCTTACACCACGTACACCACGACGTGAGCACATTACACCGGGCCTCTTATCCCTTCCTTGGCTACCGGTCAAATTCCGAGTGGATTTTAAGATACTGCTATTAACCTAACAGGCTTTAAAAGGGCTCACCCCACATTGCTTTGAGGAACTAATACATTTAAATATTCCATCAAGGTCCTTAAGATTTTCGCATCTCCAACTGCTCAGCACTCCCAGGGTCGAGGTTGCGCTCTTTTGGTGATCGGGCTTTTGTTAGCGTGGCACCCAAGTTATGTTGGAACGCCTTGCCCACTTGAAATCAGGCAATCGGAGTCGGTAGATATATTTAAGCCTGCTTTAAAACCCCATCTCTTTAAAGTCGCATTCTCTCTCTAGCTTGGTCGGTTGGCCCTGATTCTGTTTTTGTTTCCTGCTTCCCATGAAGTGCACATTGTGGATCCTAAGATGGAATGCGCATTATACATTTGAATTATTATTATAATGGAGCAAGTGTGAGGTAGTTACTCCGCCCATATTTGTTTACATTTGTGAAACATTAACATTCAATTGAGTATATCAGGAAAGAACTATGATTTTAAGTTTGGGAAACATTGCATCCGGTTTACGACGGTTACATTTACGACGTCACCATCAATTTACAACCCATCATCCAACACAACTCCTAACAACATTGGAACAGCAATGTTTCTACAGTGAAACGGAGTGGAAATTCGGTGAGGTTTACTTTTCAAAAGGTCAAGTCACTTCAACAGAGCAAGGTAATACGAAATACTGGTAAACATTTATAAAAAAAAAATATACAGATGTGTAAATTTCAGTGAAAAATCTCACGTGCAGTACTGCACTGTACACTCATCATTATTGACCTGTATGCACGTGCGGGGGTACAACAACACTGAGCACACACAGCAGTGGATAAAGGCACGAGTTTTCAATGTAGAGCAACAGCGTTAAGCATGATCGGAGCAAGTACGCCAATCCGTGGAGCAACGTGGAGGATATGAAACAATAGCATCAAAGCCCAGTTGCAAACGCATCGACGCACAAACAAGAATAGATAAAGAGAGAGAGCTCAAACTAATTCGCATGCTACAAGAGCCCAATGAATGATGGTTATACTGTGTAACAAAAACATATTTTTTTGTTCCTGGATAGTAAATCCTATTTTCCAATTGCTTATGCCTCAAAAGTACAGAACATGGCTATTATTCCCCACAAACTTTGCTTTTGCGACCAGGACAGTGATATTTTGAAATGTACCTATTTTTCAATCAGAAAACGTGTACATTTGTGTCATTCCTTCACATAAAGCCTTGGTCACAAAAGCAAAGTTTGTGGGGTAATAGCCATTTTCTATCATTTCAGGCATAAGCAATTAGAAATAACACTACCCAGGAACATAAATCGTGTTACAAGGTTACGATTGGGTGTAAGAGGACCTTTGCTCTCAGCCTTCATAGGTTACAAATGATGCCCCAAGCCATCGCAGACGAGCGCCAGGGCATCTCCTCGTTTGTTCAGTTAAAATAAACACCACTGCTCAATAAGCCTTTTATTTACTGATCACTTAACAGATTAGGAACGAGTTAAAAACAGAAACTCTCAAAAGGTCCACGCCATCGGCTTCAGTCAGAAACCGGCTCGGCTGTGTTGGGCCGAGTTTGTGGAGGCATAATTGAGGTTTTTTTTTAGTTAAGATCGCATAAATATAAATGTGTCGTTAAACCCGCCACCACACGACACAGCCAATTAGTAAGGTTTGTCACGTGCAGATTGCACGTGTTGTGGATTTGCTCTCCGACATTTACAATCTTAGTGCAGATTGTAAATGTTGTGGATTTGCTCTCCGACATTTACAACCTTAGTGCAGATTGTAAATGTTGTCGATTTGCTGTCCGACATTTACAATCTTAGTGCAGATTGTAAATGTTGTAGATTTGCTCTCCGACACACCGGTGTGCTGCATTAGTAACGAATTGGCACGTTCTCTTTACGTGCCACTAAACCTAATTGTGGACCTAGGAGAGCTTTCCCTCTTTAGCCTGCCATTCAAACAGCGCATCACAAACATCCGGGCTCAATTATAATTGTATAATTGTGTCATTAGCAATGCAATTTCTGCAAACAATGCTGTTGGTGTCAATGCAGTACAATTAACCCACGGATAAGACACAAGCGTGGAGAACCCCAATGTTATGCAATGCACAAGGCAATAACGTACACAGCAGCGATAATCACAGCTACAAAAATATGAAAGCAGGCGTACAGATGAAAAATACTGCACGGGATTCATGTCTGCAGCATGAATGGGACACCACCTGAAATGACCCTGGTTGTTAAAGACGACGGCGTGCAGCAAGCAGTAAAACAGCAACCGCGAGCTTGTGTTTGCATCGCTCTTTGAGTCGAGGTGCTGCACTATGCACACGGAAGATGACTGTAAAAGCCAC